CTTATTTATTTATTTATTTATTTTATTTCTTATTTATTTATTTATTTATTGCATTAACACTTTTGTGTTTTTTATCTTGACCGTATCATTCACACAATTTTATATAACTGACTTCCATTACCAATTTATTTTTTACTTCGCGATTTCGAGATTTATATAATTTTATATATACAATTTTTTAGAATTGACTTACATTTTACTTTTTAATTTTATACCACAATTTGACAATTTCACAATTTCTTACAGAATTGACTAATTCTTTACTTTTTAATTTTATTTCTGGACACGACAAGTTTACAATCCTATAGAATTGACGAAACTCCTACCAATTAGTTTCTGTGCGATTTGTTATACTCCGCTAGAGTTGACATTATATAACTTGGTTTAAGGCTTTAAATTTTGCGCCAGAAAAATAAGCAAGTTGAGACACAGGTCTATGTTCCCCCGTCATGTTTACCCCACTTTAATGTCAAATTTTCGCTTCGTAATACCGCTGTGTCACAGTCTTACTAACATCGTTGCCACGGACTCATCTTTCGAATCACGGTTATTCAGCCTCTTTATGTCTGGGACCATCTAGAGATCGACTGATTAACAGTTTAAGATATGAGTCTGTTCGATAATTTGAAGTTACACGAGGTAACCGGTTTTTTCTACATTTGTTATTGCATAAGTATTACCATGTTACCAGTTTATAATTCTTACATTGTAGTCTAACTGAGGAAGACCCGAAGAAGGGTCGAAACGTTTTATACTTGATACCATTAAAGAGAGAATTTCAATTCGTACTGTGAGAACTGAGATCCGTTCATTTTGTGGCTCACATTGGCACTTCTCCTTCCTTTAATAAAATATATATTTAAAATTACAAACGAAACGCTGCCGTTCCTCAAACTGTAACTCAATTTTTACCGCGCTGGTAGCGTAAACACGATTGTTCCGGTCTAAAAAGAATCGGTGTCCAGTTCGGCGAAGATTATGCTATTGATTCAACGGTTGAATTGCAGAAAAAAGACACCTCTCGTATAGATTATTGTACGCTTCATTTTTCGTCACGACGTCTTCGGGTTCGAGTTAGGCGTGTTCCGAAAAGAACTCACGCGACGGCCATTGTCGCACAACCATAATTCACCGGATAAGACGGATTTAAGAGAGTTCAGCTTCACGACGTCTCTTGCACCGGAGATGATTCAGCGCGGAGGACCGGATAGTTTCTCGTCTATCGCGTCTCTGATCTATCGCATTTAAAATGTACGAGAATGTGCACGTTCGTTCGGCAACGAAATTTATGTTTCAATTTGGAGAAACTGCCTGGATATATTAGTGTTGTGTCATCGCCACCACATTCACAGAAAAAAATTTCCGGATCCAATGCTATTACACTTCAGTGTATCATAAAACAGGATCGATATAGCGCCAATTTTATTTATTGTAGAGAAAGGAATATTTTAATCTTAAATGAAAAATTCTAAAATCTAAAATAAAATAACAGTGTGTATCGTCTTTTGTCGAATATCGTGGTGCCAACTTCGTGCGTTGTAAGATGGAGGGAAAATTTATTCTAAACGCAAGAACAACAACAAATTACTCTTGTTTCAATATAGTAAGTCAATCTTTTTTAATTCGATAGGGGAGAATAAGAATTATTGATTTTATTTTGATATTGTCTTATTTTTATACTAAATGAGGTTGTGAAAAATATAAATGCATCAAGAATATTTTTTGTCTCGGTAACAGAAATCTTTTCTGAGGGTGTAGTGCTTGACGGCATCAAATGAGAAGCTCTACACGAAGAGAATTTTTTAATCAACTAGTAAGAATATTCTTAAAGTCGCCATAAGTAATTAATAAATTAATAACATCAGTGATTTTTATTGGCCGCATCTGACAATTAAAAGTTTCCATCTGGCAAAAAAAAGTTTTAATTGCCAGATGCGGTCAATAAAAATCACTGATGTCAAGAATTTTTTTAAGTCATATAAATCGTGGGTCAACATGGCATTTTGAAGAATTTTATGAGAGTTTTTCGAAATTTTACCATACATTTTATTAGAATGTTGTCCCAAAATTACACGATTTTCAGGGTTTTTAAGAGAAAATTCTCTCCGTCTACGAGCCGGTGTTTCGAAATGTACACGCGCAGTAAGACTATTATCTTCTCTTCACTAGGCGTATATTAAAATCCTCAAAATCTCCCGCGTTTAATCTGGCGTTATTTCTGGCTTGACCGAACTAAATTGTACTTTTCTCTCTGCAGGCAAACTGCAAGCAAGCCGAGCGTGCAAAAGAGACCTTTGCAAGCGTCGCAAATATTTGAACAGCACACGGAGGATCGGCGGAACTCTTCGCCATGACGAACATTCGACGGCGGGCGCTTCGATCGTAATCTATTTTGGCTGAATATTTTGAGCGCTGCGAGGGAGAACTGATCGTCCGTCGGAGGCGTCGCGCAAATTAATACTACCGTGGCGCACACACTCACCATAAACAGCCGGCCATTGTGGATGCGGCGGCGAAACGTTGATACGCCTGGTGCGGAGCGCACGCGGAAGCTGGGGATCTGCAAGCAGACAGAACAGAGACGTCCCTCAGTGAGCGTGTCGGCAGGAATTTGCATGGGTCCGCGGATACGTTAATGCCGCACGCGCCCCCGTGCACACGCGGAGCGCGATGCACCGAGTCCATCGATTCGCACGGGTGCCACTGTGCCACCGTGTAGCCATCCCCTTCTCACCCCCTTTCGCTCGATACCGTTGCACCCCGTTGCACCGCTGTGCGAATCAATGGCGCACGTGCGGCGGCACGAGCCCCCCTCCCCCCCACCCCGACACAAAAACGCATTCAGCGGGGATCAAACGACTTTGGTATCGCGAAACAATTCTGTAATTCCATTTCGCAAATCGGCCGAGCCCGACAATGCGCGCGATATCTCTCTCGCAGCGGTCTTTACAAATTTATCATTGTTATATTATTAATAATGCGTGCACGATCGCGAGGCGTCGATGATTGATGATAAAGTACGTCACTCGTCTATATTAACAGCAGAGTCGAAACTATTGTTTTGCATCAGTTTTGCGCACCCTTTGTTCGAATCAAGTAATACGTAATGGGGGATATCGAATAATTGCGAATCGACGAACTACCGGCACGATCTTGGTTTTACAGAAGCGTTCGTTCCACCCGCTCGGCGCAATTCGCCGGTTCAATTACAGCGCGAGTAATAGGGATTAATTGCCGTTCTCGGCAGCTCGTCTCGCTCGCTTCTTGTTTCGCAGAATATTTAACGAAACCCTTTGGGAAACGCGGAGTCCCTGTGCTACATAATTAAGTTAGGTTCGATCGCCTGGGAAATCGCAACTCAGCAGCTGCAATCGCGCGTCGTGAAAAATGCACCGTCGACGCTCGATAATTCGCGCGGCCTAATTATTCGCCGTTTTCCGAGCTTTTCAACCGCGAAGATCAACGCTCCGCGCCGGGAAAATAAACTAATTGGGAGTGGCATATATTAATAAAATACACAAGTCCAGTTGTGTTTAATTCCAGTAGTCGCATCTCCCTTTGACGGGGACGTTCTCGTCGATTTATTTCTGCGGGCGGTCTCGCCTAATACTCGTCCCACGAATTTCGGCGTTGAGAGAGCACGGAAGGCTCACCGTCCCGTGCAGGAATGCGGGGAAAAAGCAGCACGAGTGCGCTGGCCGGTGCGCGTTAATTCGAATATATACCGTGTCTAAAATTAATATAAATTAGCGCCGCCGTCGGCCCGCCGGAATGCCAACGTCGTCCCTGTAAATTGAGACAAGTCGGGCGCGGTCCGCGACCACCGCGCGCGAGATGGTCCAACTACTCTCCAACTAAAGTGCCTTATAGTGGCCCCGTTGTTTCTGCCACCGCGCTCGCCAGACAGATGCGTCCGCACTCGACGGGTTGCGAGCGAACGCGCGATACGAGCAACGTTGAATTAAAAAAGATTGGTAAGCTGGTTGTTCCTCCTAAGTCACCGTACACAATTTCAACAAGGTCACGTCCAGTCCACCATTTTCATAAACTCTCCTCTCTAAAAATCAATCAGTGAATTATCACTGAAAACAGTGAATAGTTG